TGGCTTCTGCCCTTTCGTTCTCTTCGTTATCTCTCGTCGCCGCCAATTTTCTTCCCTTGTTTCTTTTGTTCTCCCTTGCCCCTGCCGCGTTGCCGCTGTGCTCCGCTATGTAGGTCTCGCCACCATCGTGGCCTTTTTCCTGCGCCCCGCCTGCAACAGCACCGGCTTGCGCTCTTTACGCGACCTTCTGACGCCGTGCGGGTGCCCGCTCGCGGTCGCGATCAAAAGTACCCCCGCCAACCCATCCAGACCCAGGGAAGTTGGGGGGGGCAGCGAGGTGTAGGAGCAAGATCGGGGGCAGCCGTTATCTGTCGAATGACGGGGAGGATGGTGGGGAAAACCGAACAGAAGGGGGAGGTGGAGGAAGAGGAGGAGGAGGATATACATGGAACAGGAATCGGCTGATGAGAAGCGCGAAGAGGGGGAGGGGGAGGAGGAGGGGAGGAGGAGGGGAGGAGGAGGAGGAGGGGAGGAGGAGGAGGAGGAGGAGGAGGAGGAGGAGGAGAGGAGAGGAGGAGGAGGAGGAGGAGGAGGAGAGAGGAGGAGGAGGAGAGGAGGAGGAGGAGGAGGGGAGGGAGGAGGAGGAGGAGGAGGAGGAGGAGGAGGAGGAGGAGGAGGAGGAGGAGGAGGAGGAGGAGGAGGAGGAGGAAGGAGGAGAGGAGAGGAGGAGGAGGAGGAGGAGGAGGAGGGGAGGAGGAGGAGGAGGAGAGGAGGAGGAGGAGGAGGAGGAGGAGGAGGAGGAGGAGGAGGAGGAGGAGGAGGAGGAGGGAAGGAGGAGGAGGAGGAGGAGAGGAGGAGAGGAGGAGGGGAGGAGGAGGAGGAGGAGGAGGAGGAGGAGGAGGCGGAGGAGGAGGAGGAGGAGGGGAGAGGAGGAGGAGGAGGAGGAGGAGGAGGAGGAGGAGGAGGAGGAGGAGGAGAGGAGGAGGAGGGGAAGAGGAGGAGGGGGAGGAGGAGGAGGAGGGAGGAGGAGGAGGAGAGGCGGAGGAGGAGTAGGAGAGAGGAGAGGAGGAGGCGGGGAGGAGGAGGGCGGAGGCGGAGGAGGAGGAGGAGGAGGAGGAGGAGGAGGAGGAGGAGGGAGGAGAGGAGGAGGAGGAGGAGGAGGAGGATGTGCATGCCATATGCCCTTTGCATGCCCAGGTGCTTCCTTGGCGCGCCGCCAACACCGCCCTGGCGTTACCCCCTTCGCCCTGCCTCTCGCCGCGCCCCCCCTTGCTGTCTCGGCCGATCTCGCCCTGGCGCTGCTGCGAAAACACTCCAGCAACTCCAGTTAGATGTTCGTTCGAGCGGATGGAGCCCACCTAACTCAAAGAACAAATTCGCGGACGGGGGGGGGGGGCATGGAGCAGGTGACAAACATTTGGGGCATTGATGATTCCTTCTCTTCATCTTTCACCCTGGGGCAAATCCACTCCACGCCAATTCTTCTCGAAGAAGAGCAAACGACATTGAATTTCGGAACTCCGCGCAGATTTATTGGAACTGCGCTGAAAGCCCTTCGCGGCGCCTCTGGCGCCGCCCCTGGCGCCGCCCTAGCGCGCCCCGCGCAGCAGGGAAAGGGTTCAACGCAGATCCTTGAAATGTGCGCGGGCCTCCGACTGCTTCCTGTTATGTAGTCATTTCTTCCTCTATTGACGGATCCGTTCGACTCTTGTTCAGTTGCAGTTCGGCTCAAGCTTGACTTAGGTTTGACTCAAGTTCGGCTCAAGTCCACGGACGTTCGACGCAGCATCGACGCACGAGTGGAGCGAGTGGTTCCAGGAAGGTCCCCAGAACGAGCATCTAACTCTAGGGTGGTCCCCACTCGTGCCGCCGGCCCTTGCCTCTGCGAGTTCCCAGACCTCCGCCGCGCCCCTTCAGGTCTGTACACCCCTTCCCCGGAACAGGCCCCGCACCCCGAGCCATTTGTTCCTGGTCTTTGGGGCCCAGCGAGGGACACCCCGCAGAGCCGAACAAAGGCAAAACACCCCCGTCCTGATTCGATGGTTCCGCCGAGGTTTCGCCACGTTGCCGCCCGTTGCCGCCCCGTTGCCGCCCACTGCGCTTGGATGGACCGCCGAGGTCTCGCCACGTTGCCGCCCGTCGCAGCCCCGCGACCCTGCTCGCAGCGCGAGGAGGAGGTTTGGAGGGTATCCTTCCTGGCCGGCTCGAGCGAGCGGCGGCCGTCCCCCACCTCGGGCCAGACCTGCCGCCAGCGCGCGCCGCCCCCGCGCGATGCCGGGCGGCCGGGGCAGGGACGACCGCGACGCGGGGGAGCGCGACGGAGGCCTGTTGCGCCCGACCTCGTCCTCGTCGTCTTGATCATTGCCGTCGTCCTCGTCCTCCTCGTCCTCGTCCTGGACCCCGTCGTCGCCACCTCCTGCGCACCAGGCCGCCGCAGCCGCAGCCGGGGCGGCCGCGACGCGCCCCCGCGCCGCGACCGCAGCCGCAGCCCCCACCGCGACGCGGCCCCTCGTCGCGACCGCAGCCGCAGCCCCCCGCGCGAGGCGCCCCCCCGCCGCGACCGCAGCCGTAGCCGCAGCCCCCCGCGCCGCAGTCGCAGCCCCCCGCAGCCGCAGCGAAGGAGACGAGAGTGCACGGGGGGATACAAAGGAGCTGCCTCGGGGTTGCCAACGAGTGCTGTTTCGGAAGGTCTTCCGGACAACCCTAAATTATTTGGGGCTATCTTCGGGCGACGGTTGAAGACTTCTAGAAGCGCGTGGGGGCCATCTTGAAGCAAGCTGGCCTATCTTTCGCCATCTTGGAGGCCATCCGGAGCAATCTTGAATCCTCTTGGAGCTATCTTGGGCCATATCCAGCCCTCGGACCGCTCACAGGGGCCCCGTCCACACTCAAAAAAGAGCCCCGGGATGGCGTAGGGGGGATAGCTTTAATCAGTAGCACCTGACGGTAGTATTCGACGAGGGACGGGATAGCCCTCTTCCTCTTTGCCTTCGTCTGCCTTTACACGCACACATCGTCTGCTGGTGGCTGTCCTTGGTCAGCAGGTGGCACAGCTCGACTCCCTGTTAACTCTGCGGGATGATCTCGTACTTCTGCTTGTGGTCCGCGTAGTTCAACGTGTAGCCCTCGTAGCTCCAGATGAAACCCTCGTAGCTCAGATGGTGTGTCTCGGAGTTCTGCTTCTGGTCCTTACAGCCCAGCTTGTCCCCCCAGACGCCCCGCAGGCCCTCGTAGGTCTCGTAGCTGTGCCCGTGGTCCTCGTAGCTCAGCTCGCAGTCCTCGTGGCTCTGCCGGTGTCTCTCGTTGTGGCCCTCGTAGCTCCGAAGGTGGCCCTTGTAGCTGAGCTGGTGGCTCTCGGAGTTCTGCATCTGGGCCTTGCAGTTCGGCTCGTCGCCCTCGTAGTTCTGTAGGAGGCTCTTGCCGTTCTTCCTGTAGTTCGCGTAGCTCTTGTTATGGCTCTGGTCGACCAGCAAGTGGTCCTCGTAGCCCTCGTAGTTCAGCTGGCGGTCTTCGGAGCGCTGCCTGTGGTGTTCGAAGCCCTTTCTGTGGCCCTGGTCGCTCAGCGCAAGGTCCCAGTAGCTCAGCGCGTGGTCCTCGTGGCTCAGCTGTTGGCTGTCTTTGCTCAGCAGGTGGTGCTTGCAGTTCAGCTCGTCGCCCTGGTAGCGCTGCGGGACGCTTTCATACTTCTGCCTGTGGCTCGCGTGGGTCAGGCAGTGGCCCCCGTAATTCTGCCTGTGGCCCTCGTAGTTGAGCTTGTGGGTCTTGTAGTTTTTCTTATCCTTCTTCTTTTCGTTGCCGCTCGGCTCGTCGCCCTAGTCGCTCTGCAGGTGGGTCAGGGAGGTCTTCCTGTAGTCCGCGTAGCTCTGGCTTTGGCCCTGGAAGCTCAGCAGGTGGCCCTCGTAGCTCTCGTAGCTGTGCCTGTGGTCCTCGTAGCACACCTGGTGCTCCAGGTAGATCAGCCGGTGATCCTCGCAGCTCAGCTGGCGGCCCTCGTAGAGCAGCAGGCAGTCCTGGTCATTCAGCTGGTAGCTCTTGTAGTTCTGCTTTTCGTGGCTCAGCTTGCGGTCCTCGTTGCTCAGCTCGCGGCTCTCGCGCCCCTCGTGGCTCGGCAGGTGGGTCCTGTAGTGCTTCTAGTCTTGGCTCTTGTAGCTCTGGTTGTGGCTCTCGTAGCTCAGCTTGTGGTCCTCGTAACACAGCTCATAGTTAGCTCTCGTGGTTCAGCTAGGTTCTGTCGTAGCCCTGCTTTCCATGGCCCGGCTCGCGGCCCTCGTAGCACAGCTTGTGGCGGCCGTGGGTCTGCTGGCGGGTCTCGTAGCTCGGCGTGTGAGACTTGAAGTTCTGCAGGTGGCTCTCGTAGCTGTGCGCGTGGTCATCGTAGTTCAGCTTGTGGTCCCCTAAGGTCGCCTGGCGGCCCTGGTAGCTTTGCTAGTGGCTGCAGTAGTTCAGAGGGCACGCTCTCTTCTTAGTCCATGTAGTCTTGGCGGTTGTCGTAGCCCTGCGGTCCGCGGTAGCCCTGGGGGTCGTAGAAGGACAGGTCGCTCTTGAGTCTAATGTCGTAGTAATACTCGTCGTAGGCTGCGCGGCCGTTGTCCACCTGTACCGCCACGACCTCATACTTAGTAACGCTTTCGGGTCGTTCGGCCGTGCCTGTCCTGGTTTCCGTCTTGGTAGCGTACTTGGTGCCGTACTTCGGCTGCCTGTTACGCAGCTCTCACTCGGGCTGCATATTGCGCGGCTCTTCCTTACGCTGCATGCTACGCAGCTCATCCCGTCCCCCCGCAGCTCCTCCGCCTACTCCTCCTCCTCCTCCTTCTCCTCCTCCTCCTTCCTCCTCCTCCTCCTCTCCTTCTTCTCCTCCTCCTCCTCCTCCTCCTCCTCCTCCTCCTCCTCCTCCCCCCTTCAGTAGCCATTTTGGCTCAAGCCATTTTGGCTCAAGACCCCATGTCGCCCAGCGGCAACGTGGATACCGCTGATCCGCGGCTAGACCCTGACTGTTTCTCGGCCTTCGCCGGTGGGGTTGGGCTCTCGCCAGCAGTTCCAGTCTCGCCGCTCTCTCACAGATGGGTGGAAGCAAGCGCAATGGCAAGTCTAGGAAGGAGCGCACCGTCGAGTCATCGATCTCGCGCTCGCCGTCGCCACCTGCGCGGGCTGCTGCTTTTCGTCACCGCGATCGTGACCGTGACAGGGATCGAGATCGGGACCGTGCCCACGACCATCGTCGCCGCTCCCCTCGCAGTGCAGGAGGCTCCTCGTCTGCTGCCACCCGCCGCTCCCGCAGCCAGGCACGCGGCGACCCCCGTGATGGCGTTCTTGGTGGAGACGACGGCCCCGCAGCGCGCGATGATCCCATGGGTGTGGAGGCTTCCTCTACCAGCACCGCCCACTTCGCCATCCACACGCCGCGCACCGAGGGCGACCAGGACCTCGACATCCCGCCCACCTTCACGGACAGCCAGCTCGCCGAGGTCGACCAGCGCTGAGTCGCGCTCTTGGCTGCCAGTGGCCGCTCGCCAGCTGCTGCCCCTTCGTCTAAGGCTGGTGCGGGCGCCGCTCCGAGTGGACTTGTACGTGCTGGACCTGCGCTGTGGCCATCGCCCCCGCAGCAGGCCCCCCGGGCGACGAGCCCTGCCAGTGGTGGCATCCTTGACCCGTGGGCGCAGGCCGCTGTTCGTGGCGGACAGCCATTCGAAGACTTCAAGAAGTCGGCCATCGAGGAGTTCACACAGGCCGCGATGGCTGCGCTGGCCACTCGCCTGCCTGAGGCGCCGGCGCAGGCAACCCTCCCCCTTGTCAGCAAGTTACGAGGAGAAGTTCAACGAGCAGATTAGGCGGCTCCGCGACGACATGTCGCGCCAGGACGCAAAGATCGCGACTGTGGGCGACCAGTTCTCCGAGCTTAATCACAGGCTGTCGCGCCTTGAGCAGGAGCTCGACTTGGCCCGCGCTAAGCCCCGCGAGGCCCCCACTACATCGGGTGATTGGGGTCGCCCGACTTATCGGACCATCTTTCAGATTCGACGCGCTAGCGCCATTCCGAAGGCGTCCGTCGCCGACGCGCTTCAGGAGTGGCTGGGCGCGGCCAACCTCCAGCTGGGCGAGCACGCCGAGCTCCTCGGCGACGACCTGTCCAGGCAGTACGCGCCCTCCTTCCTCGGCGTCATGCCCGCGACGCGCGAGAGCAGGCGCCGCCAGGCGCAGCTGCAGCTCCGCACAGGCGCTGGCCGCTGGCGTGCGTTCTCAGCTGCGGCGGGCCCCATCCATGGTCGCGGTCTGCGTCTCGGTGGACAAGAACAGAAAGGAGGTGGCCATGGAGATGGCGCCCAGGAAGCTGCGCAAGGGCGTCCTCGACCACTGGGGCATCCACGCCTTCGCCGACCGCTAGAACGGACGCCAGGTGTCGAAATGGGGGCCCCTCGCGCAGGTCCAGGTCAGCTCGGGCTCCCGCATCCCCAAGGTGGAGTGGAACCTGGTGGCCCTGGCAGACTCCCAGCACACTCGGGAGGAGGCTACCTCCCTGGTGCAGTGGCTCTTCTGTGACAAGGAGATCACGTGGAGTGGGTGACGCGCTGTTCGATGGCGACCAGCTCCACATCACGTCGTGGAACGCCTCCTCGTTGCTGCGCTTCGACGGCACCAAGCTGAACGCCCGCATGCGGCACCTAGCTCAATTGGCTTCGTCTTCTACGATTGTTGCTGTCCAGGAGGTGCATGGCGACCAAGCTCAAGTGGAAGAAGCTCTCCAAAGTTTTCGGGTTTTACACCGTGCCTTCGTGAGTGGCAACGGGGTCCTTCGCGCTGGTGGCGTGCTCGCGCTAGTGCCGTCTGTGGGTGCCTCGGGCATCTCCTCGGAGGTTTTGGTTCCAGGGCGGGTTCTGGTACTGACGATTACTTCTCGCACCAGTAGCTTCGCGCTGTTCCATGGGGGCATTCACCGCTTCGGGATAGCCGCTGACCAGCTCCAGCGAGTTCGAGGTCGGCTGCTTCATCATCTTGCACTTGTTCGTCAGCAGCCAGTGTCTGGTTTGGTTGTGGTCGTCGGCGACTTCAACGTTGCGGACGGGGACGCCGAGCGCGTCTCGTTCGGCTCGGGCACGCCCTTGTCTTCTGCACGCCCTCGAGCGGGTTCCGGGAGAGGCCTTCCGGAACGCGCCGCGCGCGGTGGTGCTGGTCAGGCCGACGCGCCTCCTCTGCAGGCCAGCCCGACTTCAGGTGATCGCGGAGTGGCGGCGACATCTGCGATGTCTGCTGCGCTCACACAGGTGCAGTGCTTGGCGCCCAGGGCTTCCCCCGCGCGCCCCGGCTGCCCTGGCGACCGCATCTGGCGGGCACTCTTCAGGAATATGACGGAGCTCGTCAGCGAAGGCTTCTCGCACTGGGACGCCAGCTCTGGTGCGTCTTCGAAAATTGATCGTTGCTTCTCTTTTGCGGCGCCTTGGCTTCTCTGCAAAACCCATCAATCTGCTCGGTTTGCGCGTGAGCCTTGCAAGGGTCTTGTCGACCATGCCGCTCTCGTTGTGGCATGGGGGTTGAGTGGCGCATTCTCTGTCTCGTCCGCGCCCTCTCCCGAAGTGGGTCTACACAGATCAGCTGTGTCCTAAGATGGTCTCAGACTTGGAAAGGTTGAGTGATCTATCCTCGTTGAAGTCTGACCCTTAGCGCATGCTTCTCATGGCTACTCGTGCGCGTCAGGCTGCGGGGATTCTTGTTTGCGACATCTTGCTTCGCTCTGATCCCACTTCGACCGCTTCCCGTGCGATGATCTGCCGAAGTGTTGCTCGCTGTGTGTGACGCCGAGATGTTAAGCTGGCCAGGGTGATCACGTTCCAGTTCCAGTGGGCTCAGGAGGTTGTTTCCATCCAGAGACATCGCGTGGTTCTATCGGACCCGGGCGCTTTCCAGGCCCTCCACGGTGACCTTCAACGTCAGGAGGCCACTTCCCGACGTCGCGCATTAGAAGCAGCTGCAGCGGAGGAACCAGCCCCTGGTCGTTTTCGGCGCCTTCTTGGCCAGAAACGCGCGTTGACACGTGCCTCTCAGCTTTGGAACCCACTCCGGAGGAAGGAGAACGTCTCTGGCGGTCGTGACCGTCGAGCAGGCCCGCGTCGGACCCCCTGGAGTTCAACCTCAGGCTCCATCCGCTGCGTCTTCTTCAGGTGATGCCAGTGCCACGCCTCCCGCAACGGGCGACGAGGAGATTCATCGTGCCCTCTCGTCCTACTGGACCCCAATCTTTGTTCGATCCCACTTGGTCCCTAATGGCTCTCGACGTTATCTCGAAGGGTTCACGAGTACCCAGGACTTCGCCGACTTGAGGCCCCCTGAGCTTCGCGACGTGGAGCGCTTCCTGTCAGGGGCTTCTTGGGCGGCCCCTGGCCAGACGGCCTCCACTACGCGGCCTGGCGCACAGGGCTTCGGCCTGTTGTGCTCTACGAGGTTCTCCAGTGGATCGCTCGGGGCAACCTGATGGACTCCTCCTTCGCGGCCATGGTAGCGGCGTTCGCCCCCGAGCCTCTCGAGGCGGGCCCCGGAGAAGACGACCTGCAGGGCCTCCAAATGGCCGCATTTGAGACCCGCCCTCTAGGTTTGATGAACGCGGCTGACAAGACGATTTGCGGGGGATCAACCCTTGTCTACATCCCGTTATTGGGGCGATTGGGGCTTCCGCTCAAAATGGCTTTATCCGTCATCGGACCTTCCCGAACAAAGTCGTGGACTTGGACGTTCACTCTCGGGTTGCTAGCGTTCGGTCAGAAGGTTCCTTGCGGACCTCCCCTGCGTTGATGGCCTTCGACTTCGATCAGGCCTTCCCCTCGATCAGCCAAGGTTGGCTGCAGATGGCCATCGAGACGCCTCGCCTTCCCCGGCCCGTGAAAGCCGCGCTGAAGGTCTTGTGCCACTGCTCCCCCTGCTACTATGGCGGATCGTCCCTGTCGTTCCTGTGCTGCATGTCGTCGGGGGTGCTCCAGGGCTGCCCCCTCGGCGGCCACCTGTGCATCGTGGCTTCCAACGCCTTCGTTCTTGACATCGAACGGGGCCTCCTCCGCCAAGGGAAAATGTTGGGCATTTCTCGGTTCTGTGCTGACGATCTTGGGTCAGTGGTGTATCATCCCCGCGCCTTTCCGAGACTTTCCCGCATCTTTCGGCTCGTTGGTAAGTTCGCCAATCTACAACCCAAACGCAGGAAATGCATCGTGCTCCCTCTGTTCGACCCTGGCAACGCCGAGGCCATATAGTCGCTTGCGCGCCGCGCTTCTGGCGGTTGACGCCAGCTGGGCCGACTTCACCTTCGCCTCCTCGGTGGCGCACTTGGGCTTCCAGGTCGGTCCAGGCGCGTCGCGCGCAGATCAGTGGCGCGCCCCCCTGGCGAAGCACTTGCTCCGCGCGACGGAGATCAGCCGGCGGGGCGCGCCGTCCGGGGCGGTGGAGGAGCTCCATCGGACGCGCGCCCTTCCAGTCCTCTCCTCCGCGGCCGAGCTGGCGCCGCTGGGATGGCAGGAGGCCCGGGGCCAGCGTGCGCTCATCGCTCGCCTCCCGCGAGCGCCGTGTACCATGCTACTCGCGCTGGCGCGCTGGAACGGACCGAGGTTCGACTCTATGTATGCTATGACTGCCGCGGCGCTGATGCGCTCCGCGCTGTCGACGTGCTCCACCTGGCGGGGGGGCCCCCGTTTCCTGCGCGCGCAGGTCCAGGACTCCAGCACGATGGATCTGTGGTGATCCCCGCTGCTAGCGCCCCCCCTCTGGGCCGCTCCACCGTTCGCGGTGGCGCTGGAGTCGGCGGCTGCTGGATGTCCTGGCGACTGCCATCTGGCTGCGGGTGGATCCGCCGCTCGAGAGCTGTTCGATTGCGACGCCTGCGAGCCCGCACCCGCGCTACTGGACATCTTCGGGACCACGCCGCTGCCTGCCAGCCTTGCACGGGCTGCGGGTCGCGCTCGACGCGTTGCTGCTGACCATCAGGCCCCAGGGCGCATCAAGTGGCAGTCCATCTTCCGTGCCATTTTCACCCAAGCCATCTTCCCTGAGCGCGTCGGCGAGCTGATCGACCGCCGAATCTGCCGACACTCCCAGCTCGAACTTCCCGGTCAGGGTGCTCTTCGTCGGTGTCTTCTGCGCGCCCCTCGGGCGCGGGCGACGACAGCGCTCGAAACTTACTTGGGCGGATGGGTCACTAACCATCGGATGCAGCCACGGGCCCCATGCATATACGGATGTTCCCATGGTCGGGATGCGATCGGGCACTACATCTTGCGTTGCCCCGGGAATATGCACTTCGCGTCGCTGGCTCTGCGCGTGGACTTGCCATGCCTGCCCGCCTTTCGCCTCAGACTTGAAGGCGGAGCTTTGGCCTTTGTGGTGGCGCAGTACCATCGCGACCGACTCCTCTCACATCGTGTCCAGGGCGTTGCCACCTGCAGTCAGGCGCGCGAGCTTGTCGAGGCCACTCGTCTTGCGTTTCGCCTCCCGCTCCAACGACGCCAACGACAGCTGCTCCGCCGCCGCGTCCTCTTCGAGACGGTCCGACTGGCTCGAGCTGCTCGTGACCCCCCTCCCCCTTCGGAGTCGGAGAGCGACATGGCGGGGGTTCAGGAGGCCAGCCCGACCTCAGGTGATCGAGGCGAGGTGGCGACATCTGCGACTTCTGTGGAGGAGATTCGCCCGAGCCCTACTTCCTCGTCCTCACAGAGGGCCACTCCTTTTTCTTTTCAGATCTCGTCTAGTTCCTAGAGCGCCTCTCCCTGTCCTACCCAGACCTCCCACCGAAGCCAGATTGCCCGATCTCTGGGGGTGGGGCCGCCTTTATGGTCCCAGGTTTGCTCCTCGTTGTCGTCGCGGGGCTTGTCATCATCGTGTGGTGTGCCTCGTTCGAGCGCTGAAAACAGTGCGCCAGCCCCTGCCATCGCTACTGTCCCATCCTTGTCTCGCTCTCCTCCTCTGTCGCAAGCTTCGACCGCCGAGCTCTTCTACCCCCCCCCCTCCCCGAATGCGGATCTCCCCTGCGCCTCGGGTTTGATCGGTGGCCCTCCCCCCCTCGTCCTCGGCAGCTTGAGCCTCCCTGTCCTCTCTCTGTGGGTCACCGTATTCCTGTGGCTGGCTTTGGCCCTCTCGCGGGTGTGCGCGCTGGTGATCCCATGCCGCTTTTCACGCCTGTCGGCTATAGCAACTTCGCGCCGTGCTGGGTGAGTGGGTCCTTGGCGCCGTCTGGCGGCACCGACTCTGTCGGTGCGATGGGACCTGAGATCGTGATGCTGAGCCCCCTCTGGCGACTCTAGCACGTCTTGTGTCCTCTGCCTCCCGCGTCCTCGGCCGTTTGAGCCCTTCCCCCTCGAGCCTCTTGCCCCGACGACCTCTAGGGTGAACGTTGGGCCTGTCTGTGTGCCTCTTGGGGTCCCGCCTTCCGCGTCCTCCTGGCCTGTCTCCTCGTCCTGCTCCTGTGGGCACCCCCGAGGGCACCTCTCAGAGCCGTGATTTCTCGAACTTCACGATCTTTCAGTTTGTGGATTACGACATGCCGCGATCCACGGGGTCTTCCCTTGCTGTTGCTTCCGTTCATAATGTAGATCCTGTCGAGGCATCTCTTGTGGGCGATGCCTCGCCGATTGATGCCGCCGCAGCTGCTCTCAGCCCCTCATGCGATGTCACGGCGGATGCTGCTGCCCGTGTGCCCGCTGTTGCACAAGGCAGGCCAGGCTCCACCGCCCCCGTTGCGTAGAGTGGCTAGGTGGAGAGACTCGTCCCCCTGGTTACGCTCTGCCTCCTCCTCCTCCCTCCCTCCTGTTTCTTTTCCTCCTCCTCCTCCTCCTCCTCCTCCTCCTCCTCCTCCTCCTCCTGTCGGGACCCTCGCGCCTCCCCCCACTCGGGCCTGGTCTCCCCAACCCCCCACCGACCATCGTCCCCCTCCCCCGATGCCCGGCCCCGACATTCGATCCTCAACATCGATCTTCTTCGATTTTCGATCCTCACCCTGGATCCTCGACCCCGGGGGGGGGTGGGGGCGGGGGAAGTGAGAGGTTGCAGGCAGGCCTTAAAAAGGCGGCTGGGCATCGGAGAAAGCTTGGCAAGCTGCTCAGGAGGCCGAGGGCCTTCTGAGCCTTCTGATAATGCACGTCCCCTGTACGAGTGGCCATCCGCGCGGCAGCAGCGTATCGCACTCATTGCTTGTGCTGCCACGGGCACATCACACCAGGCCCAGCCGCCGGGGAGGCCTTGCGCCAGGCTTGCAGGGAGATGGTCCGGGCCCCCCCCAGGCGGAACGCATCAACGATGTAGCGCACGGGTGGCGTCATTGTCTGGTCCTCTCACACATATATATATATGTATATGTGTGTATATATATATATGTATATATATATATATATATATATATGCATTTTCTTGTCGGCGTCGTTGATCGCATATTGATTTGGCGTCTCACAGCGATTGCGGCCTCGACCTCACCTCCATCCCCCGCACAACACGCCATACACCATGTTTGTTTTACGACAAGTGCCGCGATATCTTCCGAGCCTATGCCAGTTCCCGTGCCACCACATCGTATTCATCTATTTCCTCTTGGTTTGCATGCGCATCCGCAGCAGCAGCCGCAGCAGTTGAAGCATCAGCATCTGCAGCGGCAGCGCCAGCAGCAACAGCGCACTCACCAGCGCCATGGTGTGCGTCGCCACACACGTTCGCCTTGTTCCCTAAGGGCGCCGCGGCCTCCCCAGACTACCAGTACTTGTGAATCAGCGTACTGGCGACACTTGCAAACAGCACACCTGGGAACGACACGCGCGGGAGCTGCAGCGTGAGCTGTTCAACACCCGGGTGCTGCCACACACACACACACACACTCGCGTTCGTTTTGTTCGCCGAGGGCGCCACGCCCCCCCCCCACCAGATTACCAGTACATTTGCATCAGCGTCCTGATGACAACTGCAAGCAACACAACTGTGAATACCACGTGGCGGAAAAGCAGCACGAGATCTGAACACCCGGATGCCGCAACACACGTTCGTCCTGTTCGCCCTAGGCGCCGCGGCCTCCACAGACTACGAACATTTGCATCGGCGTCTTGACGGCACTTGCAAGCATCACTTTGGGAGTCCCGCATGGGGGAGTTGCAGCGTCACAGCCATCACGACCACCCCCACGACCATCGCTGCGACACCAGTGTCCGTGATGCGGTGGGTGCTGACCCGCCACGCCCGCGAACAGCCACCACGACCACGACCAGGAACAGCCACCACGTCCACGAACAGCCAGCACGACCACGGTGGGGAACAGCCACAACGATCAGAAACAGCCACCGCGTCTACGCGCACCCACCTCGTCCACGATCAGAAACAGCAGCCACCACGACCACGAACAGCCACCACGACCACGACCAGAAACAGCCTACACGACCAGAAGCAGCCATCACGACCACGTCCACGACCATCACGGCGACACGCCGGCGTTCCCCAGAAAGGGGTATTCTGTGACACATGAATGTGTCCATGATGCTGTGTTGCACACACCACGACCATAGCCACTAGCTCCACGACCAGAAACAGCCACCACGGCCGCGAACAGTCACCACGACCACGAAGAGGAACAGCCATGACGACGAGAAGCAGCCACCACGTCCACTCACAGCCACCACGGCCACGACCAGAAACAGCCACCACGACCACGAACAGCCATCACGTCCACGATCAGAAACAGCCTACGCGACCAGGAACAGCCATCACGACCACGTCCACGATCATCACGGCCACAAGCCGGCGTCCACCCAGGTAGGTGGTATTCCGTGACACGTGGAGGTGTTCATGATGCGGTGTTGCGACCGCCACGACCACGAACAGCAATCTCGACCACGACCAGAAACAGCACCATGACCACGACCAGCCACCAGGACCACGACGAATAACAGCCACCATGACCAGAAACATCACCGCTAGGAGTAGCAGCAAGGCATCCAGCTGTACATGTGCGGCCAAACGGAGGCGGACAAATCCTGCCCACCCACACACGATCCGCCTCATCATCGACGCCAGCACGGACTCCAGCATCGATGCCAGCGGCTCGTCCAGCCCCGGCGCCGACCTCAGCAGCATCGACGCCGGCACCGACGCCGACGCCAGCAGCACCGTCGCCGGCACCGATTCCAGCGCCGACGCCGCATCTAGCTGCAGCTATCAGCAGCTCCACCTTAATCACCACCTATGATAATGATACCAGCATCGCCACGCGCCGCAGCACCAGCTCAGCCAGCACGGCATGCAGCGGCACCAGTGCATCCAGCAGTGCCAGCGTGCTGCTACCTCCTCGGCGGCCACGCCTTCCTCCTGCATGGATTGCACACTGCTGGCGTACGGCCAGACCTGCAATGTGGCGATAACACAGGGCATCCCCACTTCTAATTCTAATTCGAGTTTTCCTGTACTTCGAATTGTGATTTTTCTGTAACTCGAATTTGGATTCGAATTTTGGGAAACGTAGAAGAAACACTACGAGAAGAGTTGATTTTCGAGCCGACTCCGGGTTTCCTAGAATTCCGACTTGTGGGAAACCGGGAACCACAACGAATAACCAGCCTTTTTATGCGCGATTCCGGTTTCTTCATAATTCGAATTCCTCATTTGGGAAGGCGGGAGGCAGCAGTTTCCCGCAATGCGGAAGGTTCCCCGTAATTCGAATTCAGAAATTCGGGAAACTAGGGGGGAGAGGCCGTTTGGGGGGTTGAATTACGGGAAACCTGGAATCACCACGTAAAAGGGTGTTCTCTTGTGGTGATTCCAGGTTTCCCATAATTCGAATTCGAGGTTTCTTATAATTCGAAGTATGGGAAGTGTGTAAGTAAGCACTACGGAAAAAAAAACAAACACTGCTATTTTTGAGCCGATTCCGGGTTTTCCATAATTCGAAACCTTCATTTGGGAAGCGGGCGGCAGTTTCCCGCAATACGGAAGGTTCCTCGTAATTCGAATTCACAATTTCTGGGAACCAAGGGGGAGAGGCTGCTGAGTGGTTCGAGTTACGAGACACCTGGAATCACAACGTAAACATGTTTTTTCGTGGTGACTGCAGGTTTCCTATAATTCGACTTCGAGTCTTCCCATACATTAAATAATGGGAAATTTGGAATCACTGCAAAAAATGTTTCTTTGTTTGACCGATTCTGAGTTTCCCATAATTCCCATCATGTATGGGGAAGTCCGGAATCACAACGAAAAGCCATCCTTTTTCGTTGTGATTCCGGCTGTCCCATAATTCGATTCTTGGGAAACGGGATTCATTACGAAAAAGGTAGTAGGTTTCCGAAGTGGTTCCTGGCTTTCTACATTATTCCGAATTATGGGGCACCTGGAACCACCCTGAACAATTTGTTTTCCATAGTTCGGGCTTTCCACAATCTGAACTATGGGAAACCTGGAGTCACTATGAAAGAGGGTGGTTTTTGAGCCGATTTTGGGTTCCCCATATGTCGGAATTTTGGCAAACCTGGAGTCACCACGAACCCCCCCCAGTTTTCATAAGGATTCCGGGTTTCCCAAAATCCGAATTGCGGGAAGCTTGGAAGAACCATATAATATTCGCGTTCTTGGTAATTCCAGGTTTCCCATACTTCGGAATTACGGGAAACTTGGAATCATTCCAAAATTTTGAATTCCAGGTTCTTCATAATCCAGAATCCGGAATTGCGGGAAACCTGGAATCACCATTGAAGCGCATGTTTTTGTTGTGATTCCAGGTTTCCCATAATTCAGAATTTGATTCTCGGGAAACGTGGTGACCACGTCGCGGGTCCTCGGTTTTCCATATTTCGCCTTTTTCCGAAGTTGTGAATTATGGGAAACCCATAACTGGACGGCAGCCGCGGCTGGCGGTCAAGCTGAAATCTTTGCCACTCTGGCTCTCCAGGCCCCCGATTGGGTGGGCTTTGGTCGCGAGTCTCGCTTGCCCTCGCAATTTCCGTATCTAGAGTGCACTGGCGTGCGCTAGCGTCTGGTAATCCGTGAGAAATCGCCGATTCAGCATCGAGTAGCGTCGACTTAGCGTCGACTGGCGTCGATCAGCGTCGATTGACTTCGATTCTCAAGGGCTAAGAAGATGTTATGGTATACTCTCATAAGATGCGACGGGGGTCATCGTAGGCACCTCGCACCCGATTCGGGGGACCATCAGAAACGCTCGTATTGGGACGGATCACCATCATAGGCCGTCGCACGTATGATCTTCTTGAGCGCGCGTCGTGGCCAGATCCGCACCATAGCGGTCCTCGCGGTGTCGCCATCATAGCCGTTTCATCACGCCCAATCAGTTCGCTATGAGTTCTTTTATGTAATGCCATGCGTAGCATGCTCCCCCGTAGAAGTCTGTACCTTTTCCCTGGGACCGCTTTTCACCCCGAGTTGGTGATCGAAGGTCCCGTGCCCATTTGAGGGCCCCAGGAGGCCAGACATTGGCAGACACCTTCCGTGGATTTTTTCCCAGCGCGAGGAGAGGCAGATCTTGAGTCTCCAGCGGCCGTTCGAAACGATTCGGGCGCCCTCGGATCGTTCTCGGTGGATTGTCCCCACCGGTGGCCGTTACCCTCGCAGACGGTTTCTCGCCTCCAATACTCAATGACATGAATTCTGCGGCTGGAGGGCCCCTGCGTATGAAAACGTACAAAGGCCCCCGGACCTCGAACGACGACGGCCGCGGCGACGACGAACGCGCTGGACTGGGCTGGGCCGGATCGCCATAGCGAGTTGTAGCTGGTGATTGTCCCCTCTGGCGGCGGTTGCCCTCGCAGGCGATTTCTCGCCCCCAGTGCCAGAGTTCCGCCCGAAAGTTTAGGCCGCTCAGAAAGGGGGGGAACCTCGGGGATGCATCCCCCATTCGGACGCACCCTTGTCTACTGTGGATTCCCATTGTCGTGTAACCTCGAGTCGGGCCCCAAATATTTGGTCTATTCTCACACCCCAGGCGGTGGTAATGTGCAAATCCTCGCCCCGCATTGCCCCCCCCCCCCCCCCCCACGCAAAGGAGCAGGAGCCGGGGCGACCGCAGGTCCGCCAGCCGGCAGCGGCCCGCCAAGGCCGAGGCCAAGGAACCTTCCGCGCAACGCCGCCGCCGCCTGTTCGCCGCCGCCACCCGTAGCCGCCGCCGCCACCGCTGGTCGTCGCCGCCGCCGTGGGGAACCCAAACAGATGAAGCAGCAAGATAACATTAACAAAAACATTCGCCGTCAGTCGAAAACGCGACGTTCACGATAAGAACCGCGACGCCGACGAGGAAAACGGCGAGGGGGAAGACGGCCCGACAGGGCAGGCATTGTTGATTTTCCCCCGCGGCTCTGGCGCTTAGCCAGCTTCCCGAACGCCGCCGTCGAGGAGGAGGGGGCAGGACGAGCGAGGATTTTCCCCAAACAGTGCTTGCACTTAGGGGTTCTTGCTTCTCTCAGTCATCTCGGGGTGGGTGGCGCCCGTCGCCGCCCGTGTCGCCCGTTGCCGCCCGTTGCCGTCGCCATGAGTGGCGCCTGTCGCCGCCCGTGCCGCCCGTTGCCGTCCGTTGTCGCCCTGCTTTGCATTGCATTGCTTTGCATTGCCTTGCATTGCTTTGCTTTGTTGTGCAATTCATGTTGCTTGCATTTTAAACATTGATTCTCCTTTCTAAACGACAATAATAGACTCTGCCCCCTCCCCCCGGGATTATCGGGACCCTTTTTCGTATTGCAATATGCATATGACTATTTTGCCCAATCGTCCATCCTAAGTATGAGCTCGTACTATCCCAGCCCAACCCGTATTGGTCCCCACCGCCATCGTTTGCAACTTGTACAATGCGCGCGCACCCGTTCATCACTACTCAGAAGTTTTCAAGAAACCCTGGCGAAACATGAGACGAAGTGCGCACGCGCGCGTCGTCGCGCGCGCATGCCAGAATCCTTCAATAACCTGCGGATCGTAAAGATGTCAAAACCTAGTGTCCAACACATCTATGAAAAGAGAAACCGTTAGTCTCGCAACACGGGTTTCCCCTAACAAACTTGTGCGCTCTTGCGAATTCTGAAAGATTTTTATCAGCGTTTTCACAAACAAAAAGCTACCGAACGGGCTCTGCGCGCGCAGGTCGAAATCGTTCGAACGCCTTTGCGCGCCTGCTGGAGTGGCACGATACGTGTCAAATTGCACCATGCGGGTCACTCTCGCGCGTCTGCCGCGCGCGCATTTCGAATTCTTTCCAAAACCTTCATCACCGACGCGAAGACGCCGTCATCGTCGTCGGCGTGATCAGCATCGGCGCCGTCACTGGCTGCCCCGTTGTTGTTTTCAGCATCGTCTCCAGCATCGCTGCTATCATCACCGTGTCTACCGTTGTCGACATTGCCATGATACCGCGCCCGCCCAAATCGCCGACTCGCATTGGAGTGTCCGCTGGGATATGCCGAGCGGTCACCGCCACCGCGTTCGTGTCGGTCGCGCCGAACTAGCTGGCCGCTGCGCGCGCGAGCACGCGCGGGCCAGCGCGGCCGCAGAGATGCACCAGCCAACGCCAAATTGTATAGTCTGTCCGTTGAGACTGCAGGTTCAGTGCGGCGGGAGCGGCGGTGGCTTTTGGATTTCCCATTTTGGTCTCTGCGGCCCCTCGGGCTCGAGACCTAGGGTTGTGCCGGTCGGCCGTGTCCGTCCGAAACCACGCTCGCGCGTTGGGGGGGGCGATGGAGACCGATCGCAACCATTTCGGACCGATCGTCGACCACTTCGGGCTGTTGCGATTGGTCCGAAGTGGTTGCGGTGTTCTTGGGTCGCTCCAGTAAGGTTTCGATTCAGGGAAAATCATAAGGGCCCTTCTTGGTGCACTGAGCCCCCTCAAGCCGCCCAGTGGGAATCTGAAAAAGCTGGTGCGACTGGTCTGATCACCGACGGCCGATCATGATCTCAGCTAAACACATGTTGTTGAGCTCGAACGCGGCCATGATCCGTATACGATTCTTATGTGATTCTTACAACGATTCGAATGCGATGTGTACGCGATTCCTATGTGATTCGTACACGATTCCGATGTGATTCGTATACGGTTCCAATATACTTCTATATATGTATACACACATATCTATATATATATATATAATCTCCGACATACATCCAAGAGGCCTCGGGGTCTACGGGGAGTCCACGGGGCTATTCATGGGGCTTTCGAAGAGCAAGGCTTCGCAGGAACCCCGTAGAAGTCTCGCAGAAGTCTCTCATCAACCTTTTCATGCCCTGTCATACGCCGCTTAGAAGCCTCGCAGCAGCCTCGCAGCAGCCTCGCATAAGCCTTTCAGAAGCCTGTCAGAAACCATTCAGAAACCTCTCAGAAGCCTTTCAGAAACCTCTCATAAGCCTTTCAGAAGCCTCTCAGAGGCCTTTCGGGAACTTCGCAGAAGCCTCCGAGACCCCCCCCAATCTGAGCGCGAAGCATGGACCGTCCTACTTCTTAGCGGCCCCCCCTTGCCGAGTGCCACGCTTGCTATATCGCGGAGAGTATTGCGCCACCAAATGGGCGAAGTGCGGGGGGCCCGAACAGGCTAACCGCCTGAGGCGTCCGCATATATTTTGTGGGGCCACCAGGCAGCGAAGAATGCGTTGTGAATCGCCATATAATTTGTCCTTCCTCCCCCCCTCTCCTCCTCCTCCTCCTCCTCCTCCTCCTCCTCCTCCTCCTCCTCCTCCTCCTCCTCCTCCTCCTCCTCCCCCGCCTCCTCCCCCACCAATTTTACAAATGTGGGCGCGTCGGGAAACTTCAGTTGAGCATTTGTGGAAACGCCCCCAAAACCGAATAGAACGCCCAATAGAGTTCCAAACTCACCGCCCAATGAATCGCCCAATAGAGCTCCGAATAGAACGCCCAACTAGAGCTCCGAATAAAGCGCGCAATCGAGCTCGTGAAAGAGCGCCTAATAGAGCTCCGAACAGAGCGCCCAATAGAGCTCATAATGCGCCTTCATTAAAGCCTCTCGGACGCCTTTGGGAAGCTTTTCAGAAGCCCCGCGGAGGCCTCAAAGAAACCTCTCAGAGGCCCCGCTGAGTCCTCGCAGAGGCCTCGGCCTCTCAGAGGCCTCAGAAAAGCCTCTCAGAGAAACTGTTCAGGGGTCTCAGAGATGCCTCTCAGAGGCCTCAGAGAGGCCTCCCAGATAAACTTTTCTAAGGCCTCAAAAAAGCTTCTGAGAGGCCTCAGAGAAGCCTCTGAACAGCTTCGCTTTCAGATGCTCTGCAGAAGCTTTGCAGGAGTTCTGCTGCAGCTCTGCATCAGCTCTGCATAAACTCTGCAGAATCTCTGCGGGAGCTCTGCATAAGCTCGGCAGGAGCTCAGCAGAAGCTCTCCGGAAGCTCTGCAGAAGCTCAGCAGAAGCTCAACAGGAATTATCCATAAGATTTTGTGTGCGAACCCTTCAGGTTGCGATCAGTCTGTTTCCAGTGGTTGTAATCTGACCGAAGTAGTTGCTGAACGGTCCGACGTAGGGGGCGCGCGCCCACCCCGCCGCCAGCCGCCGGACATCGGCGTCATACTGGCATTGCAACGGCTACCACCACCACGACTACGGCCACAACTTCCATTACGTAACGTGCTGTGGAGGGGGACGGGGGCTCCGCGGGAGTGAGCCCCGAGCCCACTGCAGCGGCGGAGCTACCCAGCTCAGGCAGGGAGGGTTGGCGCGCCTGGTTGCCGACCGTGCCGGCTTGGTGGTGTCGCGAGGAGGCGGGCGCGCCCGCTCACGGTGCGCCGCCATCGGACGGGCTTGGTGAGCCCGCGCCCGCGCGGCCCTGGGGTTCGCGGCGTGGGCCTTCGAGACCAGCGGGTTCACGATTTGGTCAAGTGCGCCGGAGCGCGTCGGCACGCCCTGGCAGAGCGAGGGGGTCGGGGTAGGAGCTGCGGTGGACAGCCAGGGCGCGAACCTTTTGGGCTACTGGCGGGGTGCAGCCGTGCTGTGCGCGATGATGGCCATGTTCGCGTTCCTGATGGGTACCGCCGCTTATTGCGTCCACGCGGTAATGGTGCCACTGGCCTTGAGCTGTGCTGGGATAGCCTGGGCGCTGATGCAGCTCGCAGCGCGCTGCCGCCGACGGCCCGCGGGGCCGGAGGCGGTCCTGCCGCCGCCCCCGCTTAGCCTATACAGCGAGTGCGATCCCGCGGGCCTAGGGTCGTCGGGGATACCGGGGCCGCTAACTACAGCAGGGGGGCCCCAGGGGGGGCATGTCGAAGCTTCGCCCCGACTGGCGCGGCTTGGCGGCGCATGTCGATTAGGTGCTGCGTTGCACCAGCCGTGCCTGGAGGGCTGACTTGGAAGCTATCGGCCAGGTGCACCTGTTGAGTTGGGCGGTGGGGCGCATGACAGCACTCCCGATGCACGTTGGCCAGTGCGCCGCCATCGAGCACGCGCAGATCGCCGATCTCGGAGAGCACGGAGCAACGACGCCGCGTCGCGCCATGGCCGTGGGGCGGCGTAAAGTTTGGTGCCTGCTCTTTGGTTTGGGCTCGTCGATGCTCGAGTGGATGTTCTGCCCCCGCCCGTGGACTCGCTGCGTCGGCGATGCAGCGGGATGTCGGCCGTTAGCCCCGGACTCGGAGAGCGAGAGCGGAGCGCGGGGGCGGCCGCGCCAAGCAGCGCGAGTAGGCGTGCAGCTAGCAAGCGAATCCCGACCGCTACAGCCAGAGGGGTGCTCAGACCGCGGGCTCATGGAACCCGCGGATCTCCTGGTGGAGGATGCGACCGCGCCCGACGCGCCCGTGCCGCGGGCCGGGGGGATGGCGCAGATCTGCTCGTGCACCCATCGCGCGCAGAAGTGCCGGTCGACGCTACTAGGGCGCAAATGCAGTGCGCCGGCGTGTCGTCGGGTGGCCCGCGGGAATTGCCGTGGCGCCCCCATGCGCGGTGGGCGCATGGGCAACGGCAGCGACGCCCCCCAGCGGGTGGAGCCGACGATCCGCCCGGTTTTATTCGGCGGATTTCGGAAACGGTTACGGGGGCGGGGAGCTAGCCCAGGCCCAGCGAAGGACTGGGCACCCCAGCCGCAGGGGCACCTGCCGCAACCCGCGAGGCGGGGGACTACCGTCGCGGGGCCT